AGACGGGTCTCATTTTGCTTTTCTCCCACCGTGCGGGGCAACGATGAATCTCATGTTCAAAGGCACAATAAATTTGTTTTAGAGTTTTCCAATCAATGTGGCCCGACAATCAGACACGCGTTGGTGTTTTAATAAGCAGAGATAGAGTACTAGGTACTATATATAGGCAGCAACGTGGCTGAGGTGCCAAAGACTCGTCATTGGCTCACTAATGGCAGCGAGGTGGGTCAGAGTCGAAGACTATTGACTTGCTTGATATTTGTACAGCAAGGGGCGAGTCAGGATCCATGGCCGAAGACTTGTTTTTTTTTAACAGAGGGAAATTTTTAGGGGAAAAGAATTGTAGGGCTTTGAATTAAAACCCAAACCTATATGTCCATCGCACGCTTTCAAGAGGATGAGCATTAGGCCACCAATAATTGGACATGGTCGAAGACTTGTTATTGACTTGATTTATTATTTTTTTAATTAAATCTCTAGCATCCAAAAATTATATTAAACACTGACCGCTTTTGAATAAAATTGTGTTATAATAGAGAAGAAATTTTTTTAACATTTATCTTTATTTGTAAAATTTAAAATTAAAACTTTATGTTAAAAAACTAAGCTTTTCTAGTTCAATTTCAATGCCTGGTTGGTGTCAACTTGCTTTTATGCTTATGGTCTTGGTCGTGTAATTGCACCCAACTAGAGATCTGTCTTCAATCTGCGTCTTCACTTCGGATAAACCTGCAAAGCCCCGAGGTGGGTTCTCAGTGTAGACACTCCGGTATTTAAGTCAGCAATAATCGGGTTTATCTTTGGATTAATGAAAAAGGAACTTTAGGATGGTTTCAATTACCTTTTTGACGTGACCCCTGGGAAGTATTTATAGGCCTTCGTGAGGTATCCACGTGGCTTGCTTAGTAGGATAATCAGAGTATGACGTGTCCCTTAAGGAGATAAATTCGAGATCGACGGCAAATTCGAAACCGAGGAATTATATGATAAATCAGGTGTAGGTATGCCCACTGTATTTATCGTGCAGTCGTTTGACCGGAAGTGCTGGATTTAACTTCACTTCGGTTATTAAGAAATTGTTACAGTACGTCCGAGGTTAAGGACCTCGGACCTATCCTTACACTATTCCCCCACCCCCTTGAAGCCATTCACTTGTGAATGATGTTGTTAGAGATAATGGGAGTATTGCATAAATAAAAAGAAAGGGGGACAAAAATATTAAAGATGAGTGACATAAGTAAAAGTAAAAATAAAAATCTGTAACTCAAATGCATGTATGGCCGTAGCTAATAGTGAAGTATGTGACAGGGGGTCATGTTGGCCATGTTCAAAATAAAATATGACCGAGCGATTGTGGTTGTAGTCGTGGTAAAAATAATGACCGGAGTCAATGTGGCTGGAGCCATAGTAAGAAATGATGACCGGAGTCATAGTGGCCAGAGCCGTAGCGAAGTTTGATGACCGGAGTCATAGTGGTTGAAGCCGTAATAAAAAGTAATGACCGGAGTCATAATAGCCGAAGCCGAAGTAAAAAGTAATGACCGGAGTCATAGTGGCCGGAGCCGAAGTAAAATACATGACAAGGAGTCACAATGGCCGGAGCCGAAGTAAAATATGTGACAAGGAGTTACAATGGCCGGAGTCGAAGTGAAACACTTGTAAGTTAAAAATATAATTATGAAAGTGAACAAAAGTGTTGAGGTGGGCTTAAGTGGGCTCGTTGATAAAGTATGACGTAGGGTTATTACGTGACATGATAGCTATCTGTTGAGAGACGTGTACAATTAATACTGGCTCAAAAAAGTAATTGTGACAGTCAGACAAACGGAGTGGGAAACAAACCGTCGAATTCAAACGGCTCTCGTTAGGGTTACACAGTTGAATTCGAAACGGCGTGAATAAGGACCGTAAGATTAAACTAATCCCAGCCGTCGAGAGTTATTTTTGCCCTGAGGTATAAATAGCCATTTTTCAATAAAAAGAAGTTTACTTTCATTATATTTTCTGCAAAATTTCTATGAAAACTCTACTGTGTTCTTCTTGCGCTTGAACTGCTGTATCGTTTGTGGATTTCTACATCAAGTTTTCAAAACCAAAATCAGGTAATGTATATGATTCTCTGATTTTGATTTTAATGAAGTGTCACTCTCCTTTTTCCCTTTCTGTTTTTGATTTTGAGTCCTCTGAAGGAAGTTAAGGTTGGGAGTGAGAATGATATTGAGTGTGCATTAGAGGGTTTTTTTTTTTTTTTTTTTAAGTGGTCCTAACTTCATTCCTCCTCCTACTTCATGCAGAAATTGAGGAGATGTCTTCAGAAGAAACAATGAGTGTTGTAGGAAGTGAGGTGATGCCTCTGGAGTATGGTGGTATGAACTCAGAGAGTAGTCCATCTAGTTCGGAAAGGACAGTGGAGGGGGTGGGAGGAGGTGAGGTAGTTGGGGTAGGGGGGGATACTATACCCATTACTGTGGTAGAAGTAGAGGGTAGGAGAGAGAGGTGCTACGATGTAGATGCAGATATCGTAGGTGAGGTAAAACAATATAAGTCTGAACTCGGGACTAGGGATAGCCTGGGGTTAGACCTGGCAAACGGGCGGGTTGGGTTGCGTTAGGATCGGGTCAAAACAGGTAATAGGTCAAAATGGGTTGGGTTAAAACGGGTTATGGGTCAATGAAGGTAGACCCTAACCCGCCCATCATGGGTCACGGGTCAACCCGCGGGTTGACCCAATTAAATTTTTTTTCTTTTTTTTTTCTCTATAATTTGTACCTATTATCATTCAAAGAAAATTATTCAAATGATTTAAAAAAGAAATTCAACATCTTATAAAAATAATTTTTTTTAT